TTTTTTTTTTTTTTTATCATTTTAGTTATTCATTTTGTGAAAATAAGATGATATAAAAGAACCTTTACACCGAGATATTTACACAAATAATATGTTGACTTCATTGCATTTTATTGAGAAGAAATCGAATAATAATAATTAACGTAACGTAATATAATTACATCAGCGTCAGCGAAATTTGCATTGTTTGGCTACTTGCAAGCTTTGCAATATGAGCGTTAAGTCTACGCAAGACTTTCACTTTGCTTAAATAATAAATATCAATCTCGACTGAACCGAGCTTGTTCGACTGAATCGAAACAATTTGCAACCTAGCTTTTACCTAGTATTTTACTCCGATAGCTTTTGTCTCGACGACGCGAGCGAAAAACAGCGTCCGTTTGAATCGTAACGAAACGTGTGTGCATCGAAGCAGCGTAACTTTAAATACATGTCTATAGGTATGCCTATGTATAGGAATAAAGGTGGATAGCCAATCGGAATGAACGCTACGCAACTGTCACATAACGCATGAAAAACATATCGCGCAAAAAGTTTGCCTTTTCGATTAGAATTAACTTGTGAATTGTGCTTACAAAATCTAATGAACCAGCTAGATTTGGACAAAAACGTGGTAGCTTTTTGTGCTGTCGACGACGCGAAGTGATCGAAACAAACAAAACTAGAGAAGAGGTTGGGATAATCGCGCCATTGAGAAGTACAAGGCAAAGTAAGGGACACGCGACGTTCTACTCCAATTGTTTATCTCTTCGGCCAGGAACTGCAAATTCAAGACGACTTACCATGGCTCTCGGTGTATACGTCAGGCAGGATCGCGAGTAGCACCAAAACCAGCACCAATTTGCACTGCACCGTCACACCACTGACGGTACATAGCGAATTCAAGCACCAGATATCACTCAGCATGTTTCTTAGGCGGCGAATCGCAATGCACAATGCTCACGCGAACGTCATGACAACCGGTAATCACGTTTTTACGTTCCGTGCTCTATCTGCTTTCGTGACGCACACACCACACCGTACTAGCCACCCAACCCGACTGCTCCGCCGGTTTGGACTGTTGCGACACCTCTGACGGATCTTCGGCCCCCACCTCGCCGCCGGGTATCGAGCCATCGAAATTCACGAACGCTTACGAACTTTGCCGAGCTCGTAGCGCGCCGACTACAGTCTCGTTTAAAACGCACGTTACGTGCGTTCATCTGTTTCTCGTTATATCTTTGCTCCTTTTTTCCTTTCTCTCCTCCCCCTCTTCGATAAGAATTATCCGTAATTTCTTCTTTCTTGACCTCTGTAAATAAGAATTGCCAATCAACGCGTATTAATAGCGGAGATATGGAAATCATGAAATTGCTTTATTTGGAGTACAACAACAACCAAGGCAGGGGATAATAATTTGAAGAAATGTTCGATAGTTTAATATAAAACTTTTGAAGAGAAAAGTGCTTTCCGTTTGGAGAAAAGGTAAAGTAATAACCGGATTAAACGGACATTAAGCCCCGAATATAAAAGGCGGAGTTTGGAGTATCGATCAAACAAGTAGAGCCGACAGAATCGATTGATGTTAATTTAAAACGCTACTTCGTGTAATCAGTTGTTTTTACATTTTTACCATGGATAACTTGCGAAGGGAAGTGATAGATAATGTAATCATCGCTTGCCAAGAAGGCAACGTGGACGTGACTGAAGATTTTGTTTCCTTTTTGGTGCGTGTTCTTGCACGCGAGAAACTTCGATATTAAATTAACCTAATTCTTATCTATATGTTGTAACAGCTCACTTTATTTCAATTAAATCCTATATATGGACTTAAAGTAGACGACGAAGAAAACAATAAGAAAATTGTTCAGGCAATGGTTGAAAAAATATGCGATCAAGACAAACCAAGCTTAACGACATTAAAAAGTCAATTATATTTTGCGAAACACTATCACGATAGAGGTGAAAATAGACGTTAAATATACCAAATGATCGATATAGAATAATTAAATACGTTTAATTTTTACAGACGAAACTGTTAAGCGACATAGACTACGACTGCATCAGAAAACTGGACCAATAGTGGCGGAAATTTGTCAAACTGAGAAACTTGCGAATAAACAGGAGTCAGAAAAATTATACCAAAAGATGTTGGTGGTTATCACGTTCTTGAGTGGCCTTGGAAATCCTACTGTACCTTCTGTGCTGAGGTAATGATATTAAAAATCGACGTCTGATACTACTGATTATTAGTCAGAGATAAAAAAGATTTACTTTTTTTAGAGAAGTGTCGGTAGCATTGCAGAGCGTCTTTCAACCTTCAGAGTTGGAACAATATATAAAAATGTCTAAGCGAGAAAAGGAAGAACAACTAATGGAATTAATGTGCATAGTCGCAGGAATACGTTTATTTAACAGAGATTGTCAACGCGGAGGCGAGGGCATCGATGATTGTGAGTTCTTGACGATTATTACATTACGGAGAAACAGATCAATAATGCAAAATACCTTTTAAGTGCCAGCTATTTTGCAAAAAGCTATCGAAAAGACCCGTGACTGTATCGTGGAATTTCTAGAAAATTTAATGACAAGAATATATAAATTTACCGCACTCGCCGACAAAATAATTTTCATTAAAAAGTTAATACCATTTGGCGTTTATACGAAAGAGAATGTAAATTGGGCAATCGAGATGTTGAGTGCATCTCGACAACAAGAAATTTATATCAGGTGTGTTGTTAATAGTAACTAATGATGACTTGTCGATAGTCTCGAAAATCAATCTCTTTCTTATAGGAAATTGTTAAGTGACGTAGAACATAGCGAACAAGAAATAAAAAATTATATGGAACGGCTACAAGAGCGTCTTTTTAAACTTCACGATACAGTAAGATACAGAACTGCCATTCCTACTGTTCAAGTATATGTAAGAAATCACATTGTATGTTTTTCGTTTCATGAACTTCGTTTTTTTTACAAGCATTAGATTTTACTTTCTAATTTGTTTAGCCACAATTTATCGATTTAGCGGATATATGGATGGGACTTCAAGATGAAGTTATTGTATTAAGTCGTATTAACAACTTTTTCTGGGAACTACGAACTTTGGCAGCAAAGGTAATTGTTTAATATAATTGCATTTGTAGATGAACTGCAGTGAACTAAATATTCAATTCAATTCCACAGACCGTGAATGTATACAACGAACAGCTATTGAACGAAATGCTGTCTGACGCAGAAATCCTCACAGATGCTGAAAGATTAGAACGATCAATGGGTGAAATAATAAGTAATAAAATGAATTATAGATTAAACTGGACTAGAATTAAAAAGTTACAAATTAAATTATGAATTACGAATTCCTTCCTCAGATGAATGCGGCCAGTGCACTATCTATCACCCTAATGAAACTAAAGATTTTGAAAATATAAATTTAGAAGTACACGCAAAATATTAAAATAGAGAATTATACATAATAATATTTCGTAAGTTAATAAATTTATCAGTTTCTAGGATTTTGCGCGTGGAAGTTCGTTAATGGACACGGAGCATTGATCCCGGGAAATCCGAATAATGGTGTTATTAAATGGAGAGGAAAGTATTATGTATTCTGCTCAACTGTAACAGCCCTGCATTTCGGGCAAGATCCTGATAGGTATTTTTGTCAAACTATAAAAATATAAATATTAATATAAATAATTAGATGAATAAAAATTTGTCATAGGTATACTTATGAGGCTCTTGATTATATACGCAATCACTTTGAATATATATATCTGTTTCAAGTATACGACGATATTAGAGCTCTACAAACACAAGAAGTGTAAGTATTTACGTATTTGACAAAAACCTGATTAAAGTTATCAAAATATAAATATTAATTAATAAGGCTATCGGAAGAAGGGCCTCAGTTGAAAACTTGCCAACATCAAATGGTCCAAACAGATTTGCATATACTTCCACCTTTTATCGACGAGAATTATTCATCAAACATCTGGGAACTAAGAAACAGAGCGCTGCATTTAGTAAGTATTGTTAATAAACAATATGAATAAAGGATACCTTTTTTTTTTCTTTTTCTAGGCAACTATAAGCAAATATAAAACACATAGTACGCAAACATATAAATCCAACTTTCGGTATGGCATTTACGTACAAACAGCTCCTCTTCGAAACAAAGAAATTCAAACGAGAAGAGATAATTATATGAACACAAAGAAACTGTTAACTTATATCTTTGGTTTGCGGGGAAGACGCGATGATAATCAACATGTATTATCTTTCTTAGAAGACGAACTCGAACATTTATAAGTATTTGGTTTTGTATATGAATTTAATATTCTTCAGTCTTGAAGGACAAACTGGATAGGGGTGTTTGAGGACATATAATAAAATTAAGCTACAAAGGGCATTCTTAAAAAAAAAATGAAAGCAATATCTTTTAATAATATTTTCAAATACATTCACGAAATATCAGGGCATAACCTGTACTTTTCTTCATTTAAAAAACAAACTGATATTATAATTTATTATTCCGTGTATACGTTTATCATTATCTCCATTGTAATGTTTTCATTATTATTAATTGTTTGAAATGATTTCACTGTGGCTCCCATTAATTTAGGCCAGCATTCATTAATTTATATTCAAAATACACAAATTTTTCCATACAACGAGGTGTGAATATCCACACTAGGAGTAATTCTATACCTCGCATCATCAACCTATCTTATTTTCTACAATTCAACATTACGCAGTGCTGCACATATTGTGACTTTTAATATGCATGCATCGTATCTTCACTGAATACATTATTTTACCATTAAACCTTAAAAGTTAGGTCAATTTTTTACACCAAGAACCTATATTACGACAATAATTATTAATTACATGATAATACAATTAAATTTTGCTTAATAATAATTTCAGTGTATAATGTAACAATTATACAGAAGAGGTACAGGATGTTGATTTTTCGCATTCTTTCTCTTAATTTTTATCGTATTCTTTTAGCCTTACCACATATCATTTCCCCTCTTTCTCTTTCTCTCTCTCTCCGTTGTCAAAACTGTATCTCTATCTCTCCGTTACATCCATTGCCGAAAGTAATTAACGTTAAAAATAAAAAGATGAAAATATTGTGTGATACTTGGGCGGCAGTTAGAGAAACAAAAAAAAAAAAACAACTGTAATAATTGCTATTGGAATTCTTTATATTTACTCTGCTTCAAATGTTGACTGTCACGTAATAAAATAAAAAAACAAAAATTCATTGTTAAAATAATTTAAAGCAGTTTTTATTTCGTTTTTACTGCCATTTATGGCACACCGTATTTTCATGCTTGGTGAAAAAGACTGTTTACAAGAACCACCAGGCAAACAACAATAAAAAAACATTAACTCTGAATACATTGACTTAAAACCAGCTTATTGACTATTGGCCATTTTAATGTTTTCCACATTTCGAAATCATCCGCACGTCCATGGTATCAACCCTTCCTTTTTATATCATTATGACATTGACCAAATCTACACGAATTCCTACTTGTGGGTCATCATTTGCGTACACATTTTAGGCAGCTTTTAACAATGTTAACGAGCCGCACTTTTAATAATGCCCATAAATTAAGATGCTACATTGCAAATATTCAATAAGACAAAGCAGCTACCATGGACAACAGAGTTCATCGGAATGATGTAAACATGGCTAAAGTCTTAAGTCGCAAGAAATATGTTTGTGTTTGTATGTATGTATATTTATGTATGTACCGTGTGAGAAAGATGGAGAGATGCTCATTGCATCTTGGAATATGTTATACAATGTTTATAATCTGTCAGATTCCATGGTTCGAGGATGACTTAATCTATAAAGTGATTTTTAAGATACTTCATCATACCAAAAGTTCTAAAACGTTTTACTCCAATTACTTTTAATAATTCATCATCGCAGAGTGCATATTGCTTATTTTTAGGATCCTATAAAATAAAAAAAAATATGTTAAAATATTAGATAATATAACAAATCAAAATTGCACGGAACTCAAAACTTACATAAAGATTTCTTTCTTTAATGATGCTCCAAATCTTCTTTACGACTTCGTGTCGAGCCATCTGTTCAGCACCAACAACAGCAGCAAGTTCCGGAGATAATGTTATAGCACGCGTATAACCGCCCTTACCTCCCATACCTTTACCACCACCACCACCTTTCTTTGCTCCACCACCTTGAGCTTTCTTAACCTTACCCCAATCCTCATCACTGTCGCTGTCACTACCTTTCTTTTTTCCTTTCTTGCCAGGTTTATCTGTCAAAAATATACCAAATTACAATTATGGAACAATGAATTTGTATATATGCGAAATTTTTTATATAATCTACTTACTTTTCTTAGGAGTAGCTTTTGGTTTCTTTGGGTTATATTCTTCGTCACTAGCATCATCATCACTTGCACTCTCCTCATCATCAGAAGATCCCTTCTTACGCTTACTCATTGTTTTCTTTGCAGGACTCCTTTTGGCTGGCTTCTTTTCTTCCTCCTCCTCTTCTTCCTCTGATCCTTCCTCTTCTTCTTCTTCTCCATCTTCAGATTCTTCACTAGCAGTCTTCTTCTTCTTCTTTGCCCCATCTTGTTTTTCTTGTAAACACTCCATGACTAAAGCATCTACTTCTTTTTTCCTATACATAAATTTATTATAGAATCCACATTAAACACAAAATTGAACTTGCTAATAAAAATAGATCTATATCAACTTCAAAAAAAATGTTGAAGGAGGAACGAGGTAAAAACTTAAAAGAATAGTTTTACACAGAGATCCTTCATTTTATTTAGGATACAGATAATCTCATTCTTGAATTATGTAAATTACAAGAACGCCTGCTGTATCCAAATCACATGTTTATATATAAATTTTCGATACATTTTTATTTTTAATTTCGTTACAAGCATAAATACAAAAGAAACGTATGAACATTAATAAAGCATTTTAGAAAAATTCTTACCTTTCAGTGAGATCTATATCAAGTTTTCCTTCAATCTGTAGCCTTACTTTTTTAGCAGACATGGTGGTAAGATCCGCATCCTTAAGGATGGCTAAACATAAAAATATAAATTTAAAAAATTAACTTAACGATTCGAATGTCCAAAATTCAATTAGCAGTAAGCGAATGTATTGATACAATATCCATTTTCAATCAATTTTTATTTTAAACATTACACAAGAACAATATGAAATACATAAAATTTTACAAAATATAACTAATTATAATTTTATCAATGAAGAATCATTGTAATGGTTTTAAAAAATTAAGAATGTAATGGTAGTAAAAAAATTAAAAATGTGGGGTCAAAATTGCGATGACGTATTTTCCCGCGTTAGAGAGAGCTAGTAAATACTGAATGAAAATGGCAACCATATATTGCCGGTTGCCGATTCCTCGTACTATAAAGAAAAAAAATTCAGGCAATTAACTTCATCGCGAAAATGTAATAAATTAATTCCATTTCTAAAATGGCTCTCTTTGCATTGGTTGATCGATCGTAGTATACATTGGACCTTGGAATGATGAAAAATAGCTAAAAGTTCAATCTTATGAACGATAAAGGTCCGAGCGGATCGGTGGCGTAATTCATATTTCAGGCAGAAAAACAATAAATGTAGGAGGAAAAAATTTGGAATTAAGAGAAAAATATTGCTAAATATCGGTAGTGTATCCATTTTGATGCGGCGGGAAAAGGTAAAAATACTGAATATTCGTAACAACGAAATACAATGTAACTGGAACTATAACAAGCGAATAAAATTCGAGGAACGAGGCTATATTTGGATTGGCAAAATGAAAAATAAAAGCAAGATCCGTTGAAATATTCTAGAAAATGAGGGCATGGTCCATGCTGAGATCGCTTTTCACAGTGCAAAAGACATTGAAGACAAGAGAAAGAGTGAGATATGAAACATGCGATGGCTTCAGGCGCGCGCCACCACAGCCAGACGCGTCATACAGTATACTATAGAATTGGATAGGGAAAGCGATCATTTCCAAAAAAACCAAGGACATATTGAAATTTTTGCAAGACATCAAACAATTTTAGAAAAATTTTAGTTGCAGATTACACGAAACGGTTTGGAGATGCAATATCCCGATAAAGCTGCACGTAAGTGGAAATACGATGAATCGTGGTTGTAATGGCCGGCGTGGGGCACGCCACTTCGTCACATACGTGCGCGCTAAAGTCGTCACGTCGCAAGAGCAAACAGCCTGATTTCCTACATATTCCTACTCGCAAACGTGCGAATAACTTACACCACGAATGATAACTAACTTAATTTTATCATATTCGAAGATCAGGGTATGGTAAATCAAAGGATATCATTACTTACCGGTAATTTCTTTACGGAGCTCTTCGTTCGAAATATCAGCCATGGTAGACCTTCTCGCTGTGCGTATTGCTGCCAACTGAACCTATGCCGGCTGCGGACTCCCGTAGCGTCCGTTGGTACAGTCACCCTATACAGTGAGTCGAAAATGCGTTACCTATATGAAACTTTAAAAACAGATATCTCGGTAGGGATACGTTAAAAATAAATACTATATACACCAAATCGTGTTAGTTTTTTACGATCTACAAGTTTCTCATGACGCCCCACTCGTAATTTTGCGATCGAATGGTCCTATTCAGACGTTCCGCCAACACATTCATGAAAACTTTTTGAATGTAACTGTACTTTAAGCGACCGCTCGTAGCTGCCGGTGGCGTCTACAGTACAGTCGACTCATATACGTAGTACTATTTCTCTTCCAGAAAATATATTTTTAATAACCTATAATATTATTCTCTAACATTCTAGAAAAATATCATATACACCAATTTTATGATTAATTTTGTTT